GGGGGGAGGCCGCGGAGCCCGGCCTTCACCCTCACCGGCCCGCCCACCCGTTCTCAGGGGCCTCACTGCGCCAGCCTCTGTCCTCCCGACACTTATGGGTTCAACTGCTCCTCGCGCTGCTCCTGCGAAAACGCCATCGCCTGCTCACCCCTCGACGGCTCCTGCATCTGCAAGGAAGGTAAAGGGATGCGGCCTCCCGAAGGGGAGGCTCGAGGGGCGGGGCCGGCCCAGCTCCAGAGGCTGCAGGATAAGGGCGGAGCTTCCTAGGCAGCAGCTGGACTGTGGGAGAGTGTCCCGGCTCTTTCCTTCCGGGAATGTCCACTTCGCTTTCTTCAATCACAGACATCATACTTGTCTTTAAAGGCGCGGGTGAGAATGCCCCTCATCGGTCAATATCTACCCTCTCCTTTATACAGAAACACACAATGGCAACCCCAGGAAGGGCCTCCCAGATCTACCAGGGGTGACAAATGGCAACCTCTGGGCTGATGTTTGCTAGCTATTGAATCTCACAAGCACCAAGTCCCCAGTCCCCACCGTTCCCTCTTGGCTTCCACGTGTTTGAGATAACTAGTTTCCTGATGGGGCCTCTGGAAACATGTGGGTTTGTTTTATGGAAGGGAGCCCCAGACCTCAGGTGGGGTGGTGCATCACTGAAATCGTTTAGCCTTCTGTTCAGCATCTAGTGTTTCTTATGTTTGTCTCTTGTGCGGTGCCTGAGCGTCCTCCCTCCCAGCCTCCGGCTCAGCACAGCCATCTCCCTGATGTGCTTGCTCTGGAGGGGACCTAGGTCCCCACACCCACTAATAGGCTTCTCTCCAGGTTGGCAGCGTGGGAACTGTTCTGTGCCCTGCCCACCTGGATCCTGGGGCTTCAACTGCAATGCCAGCTGCCAGTGTGCCCATGATGGAGTCTGTAGCCCCCAAACTGGTGCCTGTACCTGCACCCCTGGGTGGCACGGGGCCCGCTGCCAGCTGCCCTGCCCGGTGAGTGCTCACAGCCTGCTGCCTTGGGGAGAGGCAGGCAATGGCCTCTCCAGCTGACCAGCCTACCCTGTCTTCCATTTCCTCTTCTAGAAGGGGCAGTTTGGCAAAGGTTGTGCCAGTCACTGTGACTGTGACCATTCTGATGGCTGTGACCCGGTCCATGGACACTGCCAATGCCAGGCTGGCTGGATGGGTGAGTGTTCTAGGTGACTAGGACTCAGGTCTTCTGCAGAGTGGGGGGATGCATCCCATAGCAAATGTGTCTAGAAGAGGGGACATGGAACAGGAGGGGACCCAGGCCAGCCTCAACCTACCACTCTCTCACAGGTAACCGCTGCCACCTGCCCTGCCCTGAGGGCTTCTGGGGAGCCAACTGCAGCAATACCTGCACCTGCAAGAATGGAGGCACCTGTGTCCCTGAAAGTGGCAGTTGTGTGTGTGCCCCTGGATTTCGAGGCCCCTCCTGCCAGAGACGTGAGTCTCCCCACCACCCTCTCCTGACCACAGCAGGGCACCTTGCCATGCCAGATAACAGAAGCCCCCACCCTGTCCTTCTTGGTCTCTTCCTCTGACTCCCTCATCAGGACAGTTGGTACAGCAGGAGGGAGGGAGGGGGACAGTGGGGTCAAGGGTTGATTGGTCGGTTGACACCTGCCCTCAACCACTATGCACCCCTTTTCTCAGCCTGCCCACCTGGCCGCTATGGCAAACGCTGCGTACCCTGCAAATGTAATAACCACTCCTCCTGCCACCCCTCGGATGGGACCTGCTACTGCCTGGCTGGCTGGACGGGCCCTGACTGCTCCCAGCGTATGTTGCAGCCTGTGTGTCTGAGCATGTGTGTGCGTGCTGAGCAGGTGGGCTGAGGATGGGTGGTCTCTGTTTCCCTGCTCCTGGGCAGAGCATATGTTTCTCTGGAGCCATGCCGATTCAGTTATTTATAGGAACAATATAAGTGAATATTTACTGGGCATCACCTACATTCTAGGCTCTGAGGATGCATCAAAACAGATCAGGAGAAAAAATTTCCTGCCCTTTGGCACAAGAAGCCTGGAAAGAGCAGTATTCTATGGGAGCAGGGGAAATCCTAAGCTCAATGTGTGGCATGCTTTCCGCCCCCCTCTTATTTATTTATTTTGGTACCAGGGATTGAACCCAGGGGTGCTTTACCACTGAGCCACATCCCCAGCCCTTTTTAATCATTTATTTTGAGACAGGGCCTTGCTAAGTTGCTGAGGCTAGCCTCAAACTTGGGATCCTCCTGCCTCAGCCTCCCAAGTTGCTGGGATTACAGATGTGTGCCACCACGTCCAGCACCATTTGCACATTTAAGTTTACCTTTATTTATTTATACGTGGTCTCTTTCCCACATAAGTATATGAAGATGATCATGGAAAAAACTAGTCTAAAAACAAGTAAAGCAAAAGGAGAAGTAAGAGGCTGCTGCCTTGAAAAAGGCTGGATTGATCTTCCCAGCAGTCAGGGTAAAAAAAGCTCAGTAACAACTATTTATTTACATCAGATACACAAAATTAATGCATCAAGCCAATTATGGTAGCACACATCTGTAATCCCACCAATTTGGGAGGCTGAGGCAGGAGGATCACAAGTTCAAGGTCAGCCTCGGCAATTTAGTGAGACTCTATCTCAAAATAAAAAAAAAATAAAAATGGCCGGGGTGGTGTAGCTCAGTTGTAGAGTGCCCTGGGTTCCATCCCCAGTACCAATCAAAAACTCCCTCCACCAAAAAAATCCATGAAATACGATGGACATTACTTCCTTTTTATGTTGAAACAAAACAAAGCAGATAATCATATAATCCCAGTGGCTCCAGAGGCTGAAGCAGGAGGATCAAAAGTTTGAGGCCAGCCTCAGCAATTTAGTGAGTCCCTAAGCAACTTAGTGAGAGATAAAAAATAAAAAGAGCAGGGATGTGCCTCAGTGGGTAAGCACCCTTGGGTTTAATCCCCAGTACCAAAAAGGTGGAGGAGGAGGAGGAGGAGGGGGGGGAGGAGGAAGGGGAGGAGGGGGAGAAGGGGAGGAGGAGGAGGAGGCCAGGGGGGAGGAGGAAGGGGAGGAGGGAGGGAGGAAGGGGAGGAGGGAAGGAAGAAGAAGAACCCTAACAACAAAACCCACCATGCCCAGAGCTACACAATCCAGCAAACCCGGCCGGGGCTCCTTGTTTTCGAATGGCTATGAGATAGCCAAGGGAGATGTTGGGTGGGTGGGTGGACGGGCACAGGGTCTGGAGCTCACTGGAGGGATGGGACTGCAGGCAAACATCCGTGAGTCATCCCCGTGTGCCGCTCAGAGCCTCAGTGTCTCCCTGGGGACCGAGGCTGACCTAAAGACTTCAGTAATGCTGGGGGCTGAGACGACATCCAGGAGCGGATGACCCCAGCCCACTAGACAGGCCCCTTGTCTCCTGCAGTATGCCCCCTAGGCCACTGGGGAACCAACTGTGCCCAGGCCTGCCAGTGTCACCACGGTGGGACCTGCCACCCCCAGAATGGAAGCTGCATCTGTGCCCCAGGCTGGACCGGACTCCATTGCTTGGAAGGTACCAACAGAAGGGGTACCGGGCCCATGCCCTTGCCAAACAGGAGGCCAAGTTACTCACCTCCTGCTCCCATGATCCGGTTTGCTCTGGCTCCCTCCCCAGGCTGCCCCCCAGGGATGTTTGGTGCCAACTGCTCCCAGCCATGCCAGTGTGGTCCAGGAGAGAGGTGCCACCCAGAGACTGGCGCCTGTGTGTGTCCCCCAGGGCACAGTGGTGCACCGTGCAGGATTGGTGAGTTCCTAGCCCCCCATACCCCCTGCCCCCAGGGAACTAGGACGCAGCGCCCTCACCCCTGCCCTCCCATTGGGCTCCCCTCCCATGCTTGCACCCAAGCTCACCAGCAGGGCCAAGATGCCACTCCAAGTGCTCGTCCCTGTCACACAGGGAGCCAGGAGCCCTTCACCATGATGCCTACCTCCCCTGTGGCCTATAACTCACTGGGCGCCGTGATCGGCATTGCAGTGCTGGGCACCCTGGTAGTGGCCCTGGTGGCACTGTTCATTGGCTACCGCCATTGGCAAAAGGGCAAGGAGCACCAGCACCTGGCGGTGGCCTACAGCACTGGACGGCTGGATGGCTCCGACTATGTCATGCCAGGTGAGCTGGCACAGGGCCCCAGAGGAGTGGTGGGCAGAGGGGGTGTGGGGCATGACTCCACGGGAGGAGGGGAGGAGGGAGGAGGAAGGACGGGAGACGGAGGAGGCCGAGTTACTGACCTGCTGGGTAGATCAACTCCAGGGCCCCTGGCCCATCTCCCAGCCCCCCTGCACCTGTGTCTCTCCTGCAGATATCCCTCCAAGCTACAGTCACTACTACTCCAACCCCAGCTACCACACCCTGTCCCAGTGCTCTCCGCATCCCCCGCCCCCTAACAAGGTCAGTGCTGCGGGAGGGGACCAGCCATGGGGGCTGGCCGCAGGCCTGGGTCTCTGGAAAGCCCTGTCCTCGTGTGCCCCTCAGGTTCCAGGCAGTCAGCTCTTCGCCAGCCTCCAGGGACCCGAGCGGCCAGGTGGAGCCCACGGGCATGACAACCACACCACCCTGCCTGCTGACTGGAAGCACCGGCCTCTGGACAGGGGTAGGCTCCTGGGGAGGCTCACCAGCCGGCTGCCCCGTCTGAGGTGTGGGAGGGAGGCTCAGGCCCAGTTCCCCAGGAGCCTGGTTGCCAACTGCCTCCCTCTTCTCAGGTGGCAGTCGCCTGGATCGAAGTTACAGCTACAGCCACGGTAACGGCACAGGCCCCTTCTACAATAAAGGTATGAGCAAAGGGGCAGAGAGGGAGGGGCTGAGCCGGGCAGGGGCTCCAGTGCCGCCCTCCAGCCTGACTTCTGTCCTCCATACTTAGGGCCCATCTCTGAAGAACAGCTGGGGGCCAGCAGGGCTTCTCTGAGCAGTGAGAACCCCTATGCCACCATCCGGGATCTGCCCGGCCTGCCAGGGGGCCCCCGGGAGAGCAGCTACGTGGAGATGAAAGGCCCTCCCTCAGGGTCTCCCCCCAGGCCTCTCCAGCTCCGGGACAGCCAGAGGCGGCGGCACCCACAGCCACAGAGAGACAGTGGCACCTACGAACAGCCCAGCCCCCTGACCCACGGTGAGTGCTCCCTCTCCCCTGGTGCAGGGCCAAGGAGGTGGTGGTGGCAGGAGAAGGGACACAGGGAAACCATGGGGAGGCCGCCTGATGGAGCTATGCAAGAGTAAGATGCTTGGGTCAGACTTGGGGAAGTCACCTTGCCACTTAGAGCCTGTTCCTCACCTGTGGCCTACCTTCCTCGAAGGCAGAAGATGTGAAATGGTGGTTGTGTAGCACCTGGGAGGGGGATTTGGGACCCAGAACAGTGGAGGGCAAGTCAGGTGACAGAGCATGCTCAGATCCTGCAGGGTGGGCAGGCTGAGGTGGCCTGCCCCCTAGTGGCTGGAGGTGGCACAGCTGGGGATGGGAGGGAGGCCTCTGTCCAGGCACCATCCACTTGCTTCTCCATGGGCAGAAGAAGCAGCTGGAGGTGGGAGGATAGAAGTCAGGTCAAAAAGCCATCATAGAGGTCAAAAAGCCATCTCCCTCTCATCCTGGTCCCTTGTCTCCAGATCAAGACTCCGTGGGCTCCCTGCCCCCACTTCCTCCAGGTCTGCCCCCCGGCCACTACGACTCACCCAAGAACAGCCACATCCCCGGACACTATGACTTGCCTCCAGTACGACACCCCCCATCACCCCCACTCTGGCGCCAGGATCGCTGAGAAGCCAAGATGGTATGGCAGAGGCCAGCACACCTGACCCTTGCTGCCCAAGGCAGGGACAGCCCTCTGAACCCTGCCAGGAGCAGGGAGTGGACTGGCAGGCCATGGCGTCGAACACTTAATGAAGGAAGTGAATGGCGAGGCAGGAGCCTCCCTCCCAGGTCCCATCGGGGAGACGCTGTTTGGCAGGATGCCTGGTCCCTTTCCCCCTGCTGCTGCTCTGCAAGGCCTCAGGGCCTGTGGACATAAATTGGTGGGTTGAATGTCGTTGGGTGACTCTGATTTCAAAAACAGGTATTGAGTATCATTTCTGTGCACACGTGGGCTGGGCTCTGTGTGTGTGTGTGTGTGTGTGTGTGTGTGTGTGTGTGTGGCTTCACAGGGGTACCACTCCTACCCCGGGGTCCTGCCCTCAGGCACTCACCATGTGGCCAGCAGGCAGCCACCCCCCATTAGCGCCAACAGAAGCCTTGCTGCTGGCTCCTGGCATTCACTGGGTGGTTCCTCCATCCTGCTGCAGAAGTACAAGCAGGTGGGCCACTCCTCACCCGCAAGTCGTCATGTCTTCCTGGGTGAACCTCTGTTTTTTGAGTCAGAATCAGAGCTTTGGAAGGCCTCAAAGGTCCTGCTGCCTGGCCTGTCCCTTCAGCCTCACCCAGAACTGTGCCCACGGTGGTGGCTCTCCTCCAGTTACACCTTTAGGTCTGCTGTCTGCCGTGCCCCGTTCCACCCCAGGGGATGGCACACCTGCATGCTTTTCTTCCCCCACCTCTTGGCTCCTACTTCTCCTTCACACTCCACCCAGCCCTGGTCTCTCTCCTTTAGAGCATTGATGGCAACAGTCTTCATTCTCCAGGTACCAGCAGAAGGCTTCCAGGGTGCCAAGCACCCTGTTATTTCTTAATGTGTTATTTCCTCATATGGTTATTGGATTAATTTCTGCCTTCCTCACAAGACTGTAAGCTCTCTGAAGGCAAGATTCTTGTTTATGCTCTATATTGGGTCCCCTTGGCACATAGTAGACACTCAATAAATGATTCCCTTTGACTGAGTGGCTGAGTGAATAAAAATACCAGTGACACTTTGGAAAGTATTGACAATGGTAAACTGTTCTGCAAGTAAATGGGCTGTTTAGGTCCCAGTCTTCCCCAAAGGGTGAACTTCTACAGGGGATGGGCTGGGGTGGAACAGAGGAAGGGGACAGGAAAGTATATACTTCAAGGGGGCCCGGGAGGTGATGATTTGAATTCCAGAATCCAAGGATGTGGTCATCTCATCAACTCATTAGCTGACTGAATCCCCAGGGGTCCGGGAGGCTAAATAGATGGGTTGACAAGAGAAACCCAACCTCACACCCACGGGGCGGGGTCTCTGGGCCCTTTCCGTCAGGTGTTCTCTCCTTAAAGGATAGGTAAGCGGACCCAGGAAAGTGGACCTGCTCCCACCATGGACTCTCCCTTCTTTAGTGTCCTCTCCCTGCCATGAGCTCTATTATGCCCGTCCAGTCCCTGTTCCAGGGGCTCAATTCCCGGGTACCTTGAGCCCGCCCTATCCCGGGCGCTCTGGTTCGGTGTAGGATCCCCGGGTCTGTCTCTCTCTTCGCAGCGATCCCTCCACGCAGGGTCCTCTAGGGTTCACCTGCGCCTGGCATTGCGCATCCCCCAGGTCCCGCAGTTCCCTTTCTGCTCTAGCCCCGCCCTCCGGACCCAGCGGGCCCCGCCCACCCGACTTTCCCTCCGCCGGCTCGGACCTGCGGCGCCCTCTGCCGGCCGCACTGTGCTCTGCACTGCCCCCGCCGCTCGCCCTCCCGCCGCGCGCGGTTGTCCTGGAGAGGGACGCGAAGGCTCGGCCTCAACAGACCCGCAGACGCCGAACAGACCTCGGATTCAGGCATCCCCAGGCTGCGCCCCCAGGGTCTTGGATCTTCTTCCCGCCCCGACGAGGGTCGCAGAGGCGCCAGCATGTCCAGCGAGCCGAGCGCGCCGGGAAGCTCACCCAGGACCCCTCGTCCTGGGACCCAGAAGTCGTCCGGTTCGGCGACCAAGAAGGGGGAGCGCTCGGTCAAGGAGAAGCCGCCGGCCGTGCTGCCGCCGGTGGGCGAGGAGGAACCCAAAAACCCCGGTACGCTGGCGGCGGGGCTGGCGCTCTGAAAGTTCCACTCGTGGCTGGGTTGGCCGCGCTGGGCTCCGAGCCTCGGCTCGGGAGGTGGTCAGTGGAACTTGTCTTGAAGATCCCACTCCAGGTCGGGATCTGACAAGAACGGCAACATGGTGTAAGCCAGGAGCCTGGCGCACCCCTGCAGTTGCAGCGACTCGGGAAGGAGGGGGCTGGGGCTGGAGGACTGCAAGTTCAAGGTCAGCCTCTAACAACTTAGAGTTGTGTTGTGGGTAAAACAAAAAGTGGGGGATGTAGCCCAGTGGTAGAGAACCACTGGGTTCAATCCCCAGTACCCCTCCCCCACATGCTGGTGCCTCTGGGACCCTCTCGGGCGCAGCCTGGGAATGCCCGAATCCCTCCTCACATGTCCTCTTTCTGCGGCAAGTGATAGAACCCCAACCCCAACTAATTAAGCACAAAAGGGAATTCATTGGAAGGCTCCTTGATACAATTTGACAGCTTTACTGTAAAAGAAGGACTTGCTGTCCCTGGGATGGAGGTAAAACAACTTGGGAAAGGCCTTGATGGTCTAACCTTGCCAGGTGCCATCTCCTTGTCAGAGCTAGTTGTGGGGTTGGAGAGGGGGTATGAGAGCTGGAGAAGAAGCATATTCCAGAAAGGAACACAAGATAGGAGATAGGATAGGATCCCCTGGTTACATTAAACACACACACACACACACACACACACACACACACACACACACGCTGCTGTATGGAGAATAGAGCAGAAGGGGCAGCGAACAGATTCAGAGAGATGGGTTAGGAGACAGCGGGTCCAGGAACAGTGGTAGTTGGGGAGGCAGTAATGGTGGAGAGGAGTGGATGGGTTAGGCTTCTCCGCGTGGAAGTAATAATTTGGCCAAGGCCTGGATAGGGTGGGGAGTTAGGAACACAGCAACAATCGTTCTCAGGGTTTTGGACTGGGAGCTGGGTGAGGGGAGGTGCCACTCTTGGAGAAGGGAAAGTTGGAAGGAGGGGCATGCCAAGGAGAGCCCTCAAGGCGGGGGGTTATCGAGGCAGCTGGACATGGGGGTCTGCAGTGCTGAAGAGAGTCCAGGGCGGAGAAGCATCTTTGGGAGCTGCTAATGTCTCGGCATGGTTAAGCCGTGGGAAGTGAGAGAAGTAGAGAGGAAGGAGGAAGTATAACTAGAGGAGAGGACTCAGGACACAGCCGGATGTGGAGAAGGAGGAGCTGGTGCAGGATCCTGAACGGCTTTGACCCAGAGGTATGAGGGCATGGGGACCCTGGGTAGAGAAGCAAGCAGGTCACCAGGGTCGTTTTAGCAGGCACCCTGTTGTGCTCTGGTGAGGGCAGATGTGGGGCTCAAATGGAGAAGGGTGCAATGGCTGATGTAGGAAGGTATATAGGTTTAGAGAAAATCCTACCCAATAGCTTCTATTTTTCAAGAAGCTTTAAGGCAAAGTCCTTATGGAGCATGAAGAAGGGGTGAGGGAGGGGAGGAGGAGAGGAGCCATCATCACCCTCTAGTAAGGTACCATCGACTAAAGTGCATTTCTACCATCGCATGGTTGGTTTTATCTTTTTCCTTTGGTGGAGTGGGGGTGCTAGGGATTAAACCTAAGGTTTTGTCACATGCTAGGCAAGCAAGCTGTCTTCTACTGAGGTACATCCCCAGCCCTGTCACTTGAAATTCTATGGGAGAGCCCATGTAATCAGAATCTCCTGGGATGGGACCCAGGAAGCTGTTTTAACAGGCTGTCTACCAGGTGCTTTGTAAAAAAGATTAAAAGTTTGACGATCTCTGTTCTTGAGAAAGGGGTGTGTAATGAAGCAAGGGGTGCCCTCCGCACAGGATTCAGCCTGGGCATGAAGAGAGGCTGTCTGATGGGGTCACCCCCACCTCCCTATGCCTTCTCTTGGCACTTGGTGCCCTGGGCTGACATTGCCTGTTCCTAGGGACAACGTGTCTCTCTCACCCCTTCCCCACCGAACCCAGGAGCCTCAAACTTCTCTGCACACCCCTCCACATCCCTCCACACCCTAGGGGCAGGCTACCTACTGCTCGGCTATAGGAGTCCCTCCAGGACACCTTTCACACCCTTTTGTCCCCTTGCTGTGAGCTCTTGCTTTCTCACCACTTCCTTTCAACTGTTCTCAGCATTGGTCTTCACAACAGGGCTTACTTTTAAAAACAGCTCTAAAGATGGGATCCCAGGTAGGGCGGGCTCCTGGCTTACCCCTCTAATCCCAGCCACTAGTCAGGCTGAGGCAGAAGGATGACAAGTTCTAGGTCAGCCTCAGCTTCCCCCCACCCCCTCCAGCAGCACCTGCTGCTACTGGCCTGGGTAGTGTTGCTGTGGGACTCCAGGTTGGTGGCACCATGGCAGGGACATCTCTTCCACCTCCAAGAACTTCTTCCTGGATTATCCATTGGGAGAACTGAAAACAGCAGGGATCTCATGGGGATTCAGACACCTTAGGTTTGCAGAGCCCTGGGGATAGACATGGTGGACATATCTGAATTAATGTAACCCAGGAATGCGTTAATGTTTCTAAAGCCTTTAGAACAGCACAGAACACTAGGAATGCCATACAGTGTTTGTTAAACAAGCATGCGGCGCTGCTAGACCTCCCTGTACATATAAGGGAGCGGGCAGGAGGGGACAGGATTTCACATAAGGCCTGGATTTATGTGAGTGTCCAGAGTAGTCCCTGCAGAGAAGGGAGACAGGGTGGAGCCTGGGCTGTGGACACCCTGTGGAAGGAGGCACACCGCTCTCCCAGGGAAGCTCCTTGGCCCAGGGGGTGAGTGGAAGGAACCAACACATAAAAGGTGTCTGGGGCCTGGCGCGGTGGCGCACGCCTGTAATCACAGCAGCGCGGGAGGCTGAGGCAGGAGGATTGCCAAGTTCACCACCGCAACTTAACGAGGCCCTAAGCAACTTAGCTAGACCCTGTCTTTAAATAACATGTAAACAGGGCTGGGGATGTGGCTCAGGGGTTCAGTGATCCTGGGTCCAGTTCAATACAAAAACCAAACCCAAACCGCGGTCTCAGAGCAGCGCCACCCGGAGGCCCTAGGGCGTGGGAACCCGGGCCTGGGGGCGGTCCCTAGGGGGGTCGAGGCTCTCTGCTGCCCTCTGACGGTGCGCGGGCGCTGAAGCCTGAGGGCAGGCGCTCTCCCCCTCCGGCAGAGGAGTACCAGTGCACCGGGGTCCTGGAGACTGATTTCGCGGAGCTCTGCACGAGGCTGGGCTACACAGACTTCCCCAAAGTGGTCACCCGGCCCCGCCCCCACTCGACCTTCACCGCCTCGGCCTCCATGTCAGAAAAACCCACCTCAGGTGAGTGGCGGTGGCGCCCAGAGGAGCCTGCCAGGACTACGGTCCTCTCATCGCACCGGGGGGCGGAAAGGTGCGGGCGCAGGTGGCGTGGGTATCTGTGCACGCCCAGGGCAGGGGCTTGGCGCGGCGGGGAGCTGGCGGGGCGTTGCCTGTCTTCCGGCGGAGCCTGGCCTGGTGCTCTTCGCCCCCGCCGGTCCGTGGAGGGTATTGGTGCTGTCCCCTCCCTCCTCACCCTGCCTTCTAGACGACCAGCGACTGTCGGCGTCCTGCAGCCTCAACAGCCTGGAAAGCAAATACGTGTTCTTCCGGCCCACGATCCAGGTGGAGCTGGAGCTGGACGACAGCAAGGCGGTGAAGGAAATCTACATCCGCGGTGAGCCCGGTCCCTGCGCGCCCCGTCCCTGCGCGCCCCGTCCCTGCGCGCC